CTAAAAAGTGGTGGGGGAAGACTGGAGGCCACTTCCCCCTGTGTCCTCTGTCCCCATGTCCTCATGAAGCAGAGGGGCCGGATTAACTGTTTAGCCTCCGTTCTGGTCTGAGAGCCGTCTGTCTGCTGAGGCCTCTGTACTGTCTCCCTCCCCTGTTGCCACCCTGCAGGTGAAGGGAACTCAGCCTTATCCCCCCTGAACCCATTTGAGCTGCTGATTGCTTTGCACAACATTGACTCCGTCAAGTGTGACATGAAATCCATCATCAAAGGTGAGGCCCCCCTGTTCCCACATGGCCCAGCTCCCGTGAACTTGGGACAGGGCCTCAGTCACCTGCATGGCCCCACTGGGTTGAAGACTGTCACCTGCTGTTCAACATGGCCCATCCTGGCCTCTGTGTAAGGCGCATACACAGCTGTGGCTTGGCAGCAGGTGGTTCTTGGGAAGGAGGGCCGTCCCTCCCACCTGACCCTGAGGAACTCAAGGAAGCACAGCCCAAGGACAAGTCAGAGGCACCAAGGCCTCTGCTGGCATGGCATAGATGCCAGGCCTGAGTTGAGGCAGCAGAGGACCTCCATAGCAGGGGCTTGGTGGCAGTCTGGCAGGCTTCTTCCGCCCTGGCTGCCCAAGGGTTCCCTCTGAGCCAGGCCCTCCCTTCATGCCACCCACGTGGCTCTTGGTAAGTATGGTATAGATAGGTCACAGAGTTCACAGGAGGTAGCCGTGTAACACAGCCTGAGCCAAAGTGGACCCAAACCAGGAAGGGCTCTGCCTAGGAGCCTCCCCTGGGAAGACACCACGGTTTCCCCTTCTTCCTTCCCTTCCCCAGAGACTTGTGGGCCAGAATTGACTCTGTCCCAGGAGGGGCCCTGCCTGCTACCCTGTCACTTTAGCTTAGGCTTCCTCTCTCTCTGTCCCTCCATTTCCTGTTCTGGCCTGAAGTGGCTTCTTCAGGGACTGTTTTCCTGGCCTTCCTCAGCAATCCTACCAGGAAGGGGCCTGTGAAGAGAGGGCAGAGGAGACCGCAGGCCCAGGGAGGAATCAGGGACAGACTCAGAGGTTGTGGTCCAGAGCTGTGGACCACAGTTTAGACTCACACACGGCAATGAACCTAGAGCCTCAAACATGCTAGGCTCTGACACACCCTCACTTCTTGCTCTGTTAGACGCAATGGGAACAATCCTGTCCCCATAGCCTGGTCCCAAGGGCTGTGTGTTCATCACACATCACTTTGTGCATAATTGGAAACACACACACACACACACACACACACACACACGTACATACGTACGTACGTCTTGGATCCAGAATAGAAGTCCAGTCGCAAAGAGGGGAGAAAGGGCCCTGCCAAAAGCTACACAGGTGGCAGTTCACAACCTCTCAGCTGTCTGGGCCCCCACAGCTCTCACTACATCTCATCTGTCTGCTCATGTGAAGTCCCGCCCTCCCTGGGTTCTGTGGAATCCCAACACAGACACAGTGCTGGGTACATGGTTAGGACATTGGCAGCCTGATCTAGCCTGCCTGGGACTTGGGAAGGGCTTTCTGAAGTGGAGTCAGGGACAAGGTGACAGTGAGCTGAGCCTGGCCAAAGCTAGGACCAAGCAGAGGTTCCAGATAAGAGCGGAAACTGGCTTTGGCCTCGTGCAGCCCTCTGGGATGAGAGCAGCTTGGGCTGCTGGATAGGAAGGGTTAGAGGCCCAGGGGCGAGTGCAAGAAGAGGCTGGGTGGGCTCTGACTTCAGGGCCCATTTGGGCAGCAATGGAGCATGTCTTCGTAGAGGAACAGGCTCCTCCTCAAGTTCTGGCAGGCCTCTCCTCTGCCCTTCAGCCTGTGCATCTTCAGCAATGTCCCCTCTCTCTTTGGGCCACCTCCTTACAGGACCACCCTCTCCTCCGTTGGCCTCTCAAGAGATTTGTGGGGTGGGGGAGGCTTCCTTCTGGCTCAATAAAGACTTCCTGGTTGACACACTCACATGGCCAGTGGTGATTGGGAAGGACTTTAGAAGCAGCTCCTGGGGTTTCTCTTTAGCCCAGCTGGCCCTGACATTGCCACCGACTCCCAGGAGCTAGACCTCAATCAAAGCCTGCTCCATGCTTTCTTCAGGGTGACATCTTTCCACATCCTGTTGGCACTAGCTACTCCGTTGGGTCCTCATCCTGGGTTGGGCCCTCACCACTACCTCTTATCCCTCTTTTCCCTGTTGCTCTCCTTAGTGTCCCCTGTCATATCTGCCCAGCACCACCACAGACCCTAATGCCTTTGGTTAGCCTTCTGACAGAGACCTAACTTCCTTCTGGGGATGCTAGGGTGTCTGCAACTCTTACCACTCCCCTAAGTGGGTTATAGCCACCCTTCTTAGGCTGTGGCAGGCTCCAGGGCTTGGCAGCATGCCGTCTGCTCCTCTCCCCAGGGCTGCCCACTGGAAAGAGGTGGGGTGTCACAGGCGGCACCCCATAGGTTATCCGGGGGTTGGACACACCTATCTCCATCTTCCTGGGCACAGAACCATTGAACATCCCCATAAAGGACCTTGGTGGTAGGGGTGGAGAAGCTTGGGGTGGGGTGGGGTGGGGTGGGGTTCCCACTTCACGGGGAACATCCCAGCAGAGAGGACAGGCCGCTCTCCGCCTCCTCACAGCCACCAACCTGTGTTTTGCGGAGCGGAACGTGTATACGTCGGAGGTGCTGGCTGTCGTGATGCAGCAGCTCATGGAGCAGAGCCCGCTGCCCATGCTGCTCATGCGGACCGTCATCCAGTCCCTGACCATGTACCCCCGCCTGGGGGGCTTCGTCATGAACATCCTGGCCCGGCTCATCATGAAGCAGGTAAAAGCACTGGCCCCAGGCAGGCGCCTGTCTCTGGATCACCTCCCCTGCCCTTTGCAGCTTTCCCTCCACCCCTCCCTCCTGGCTACAGGGTGACCAGTGAGAACAGTTAGGGATGGGAGAGGCGTCCCGCTACCCCACTCCTAGGCCCTGCGGGGCATATAGCTCAGCTGGAAACATCTAGTCTTTGTAGAAACTAGAAGGTGGGGGGGGGGGGGGGGGTCTTTGTAATTGTGTTTTAGTGAGGGTCTTGGCATGAGTCCCAGAATAACCAAGAACTCAGATTTGTGGTGATCCTCCTGCATCAGTCTTCCTAGTGGGATTGCAAGCATGCAACACCAACTTTTAGAACTCCTCTTGTGGAAATGGTCAACAAGTTCCATCCTCCATCCCAAAGCTGGGTTCAGACCGCAGGCTGGCCCTGTGCAAGGTCTGCACAGGTCTATTCAGTATGGCTGATGGCACAGACTAGAGGTGGCAGGGGGAACCATATGCGATGGTGGTGCTGTCCTAGCGCTTGGTGACCTAGGGACTGGGGGCGGGGTCGCGTCCTAGTAGTTTCCTAGGTGAGAAAGGCACGTTCCTGTAGCAAGCTGTCCAGTGGTGGCGCATGGGTGGTCATGGCAGTGTCTGTGGGAAGGAGGTGGCTGCTTGGCCTCCACCTCCCGGCCCCATCCCCATCCCACTCCCC